GGTGGGCAGCAACACACAGGGTAGGTGAGTAATACACAGGGTAGGTGGGTAGTAACACAGGGTAGGTGGGTAGTAACACAGGGTAGGTGGTAAGCACAGGGTAGGTGGGTAGTAAAACAGGGTACAGGGGTTAGTAACACAGGTGGGTGGGATGGCACACAGGTAGGTGGGTAACACAGGGTAGGTGGAGCATGAACACACAGGGTAGGTGGGTAACACAGGGTAGGTGGGTAGTACAGGAGTAGGTGGGTAGCAACACACAGGGTGAGGTGGGTAGTAAGACAGGGGTGGGTGGGTAGTAACACGGGTAGGTGGGTAGTAACACAGGGTGGGTGGGTAGCAACACAGGTAGGTGGGTAGCCAACACAGGGTAGGTGGGTAGTAACACACAGGGTAGGTGGGTAGATAACACAGGAGTAGGTGGTGTAACACAGGGTAGGTGGTAGCAACACAGGGTAGGTGGGTAGTAACACAGGGTAGGTGGGTAGTACAGGGTAGGTGGTAGCAACACAGGTAGGTGGGTAGCAACACAGGGTAGGTGGGTAGTAGCACCGGGGTGCAGGTGGGTAGTAACACAGGGTATGTGGGCAGCAACACAGGATAGGTGGGCAGCAACACAGGGTAGGTGGGTAGTAACACAGGGTAGGTGGGTAGTAACACAGGGTAGGTGGGCAGCAACACAGGGTGGGTGAGTAGCTAACACAGGGTAGGTGGGCAACAAACAGGGTAGGTGGGCAGCAACACAGGGTAGGTGGGTAGCCAACACAGGGTAGGTGGGAGTAACACAGGAGTAGGTGGGTAGCAAACACACAGGGTAGGTAGGCAGCAACACAGGGTAGGTGTTAGCCTGGGAGTAGGTGGGTATGACAGGGAGTAGGTGGGTAGCTAACACAGGGTAGGTGGGTAAGTCCCAGGGTGGGTGGGTAGTAACACATGGTAGGTGGGTAGTAACACAGGGTGGGTGGGTAGTAACAGGGTAGGTGGGCAGCAACACAGGGTAGGTGGTGTAACACACAGGAGTGGTGGGTGCAACACATGGAGGTGGGTAGTACACAGGGTAGGTGGGTAGTAACACATGGTAGGTGGGTAGAACACAGGGTAGGTAGGCAGCAACACAGGGTAGGTGGCAGCAACAAAGGGTAGGTGGGTAGTAAACACAGGGTAGGTGGGCAGCAACACAGGAGTAGGTGAGAGCAAACACAGGGTAGGTGGGTAGTAACACAGGTAGGTGGGTAGTAACACAGGGTGGGTGGAGTAGTAACACAGGAGTAGGTGGGTAGTAACACAGGGTAGGTGGGCAGCAACACAGGTAGGTGGGTAGTAACACAGGGTAGGTGGTAGCAAACACATGGTAGGTGGGTAGTAACACAGGGTAGGTGGGTAGAAACACATGGTAGGTGGGTAGTAACACAGGGTAGGTGGGTAGCAACACAGGGTGGGTGGGCAGCAACACACAGGGTAGGTGGGTAGTAGCACAGGGTAGGTGGTAGCAACACATGGAAGGTGGGTAGTAACACAGGGCAGGTGGGTGCAACACATGGTAGGTGGGCAGTAACACAGAGTAGGTGGGCAGCAACAGGGTAGGTGGGTAGTAACACAGGTAGGTGGGTAGTAACAAAGGGTAGGTGGGTAGTAACACAGGGTGGGTGGGTAGTAACACAGGGTAGGTGGGTAGTTAAACAAGGTAGGTGGGTAGCAACACACAGTGTAGGTGGGCAGCAGCACAGGGTAGGTGGGTAGCTAACACAGGTGTAGGTGGGCAGCCAGCAGGGTAGGTGAGTAGTAACTACAGGGTGGGTGGGCAGCAACACATGGAAGGTGGGTAGTAACACAGGGTAGGTGGGTAGTAACACAGTGTAGGTGGGCAGCAACACAGGGGTAGGTGGGAGTAACACAGGTGTAGGTGGGCAGCAACACAGGGTGAGTGGGAGCAAAACACAGGGTAGGTGGGCAACAGGGTAGGTGGGCAGCAACACAGGGTAGGTGGGCAGCAACACAGGGTAGGTGGGTAGTAACACACAGGGTAGGTGGGCAGCAACACAGGGTAGGTGGGCAGCAACACAGGAGTAGTGGGTGGAAACACAGGGTAGGTGGGTAGCCAACACAGGGTAGGTGGGTAGTGACAGGGTACAGAGTGGCTAGACACAGGCTGTGAGTAGTAACACAGGGCAGGTGAGTAGAACACAGGGTAGGTGGGTAGTAACACAGGGTGGGTGGGTAGTAACACAGGTAGGTGGTAGTAACACAGGGCATGTGGGTAGTAACACAGGGTATGTGGGTAGTAACACAGGGTAGGTGGGTAGTAACACAGGGTAGGTGGGTAGTAAAACAAGGTAGGTGGGTAGTAACACAGGGTAGGTGGGCAGCAACACAGGGTAGGTGGGCAGCAACACATGGTAGGTGGGTATCAACACAGGGTAGTGGGTAGTAACACGGTGCAGGTGGGCAGCAACACAGGGTAGGTGGGCAGCAACACATGGTAGGTGGAGTAGTAACACAGGGTAGGTGGGTAGAAACACAGGTGTGGGTGGGCAACACAGGGTGGGTGGGTAGTAACACAGGGTAGGTGGGTAGTAACACAGGTGTAGGTGGGCAGCAACACAGGGTAGGTGGGTAGTAACACAGGGTAGGTGGGTGGGGAATAGCACAGCGGACCAACACAGCTGTAGCTCAGCCTCAGGGAACAGCTGAAAGTTCTATACTGTTTACAGCTGAATGAACAAGTGGTGGTGGTGGATGGTGAACAAGTGGTGGTGATGGTGGTGGATGGTGAACAAGTGGTGGTGATGGTGGTGGATGATGAACAAGTGGTGGTGGTGGTGGTGGATGGTGAACAAGTGGTGGTGATGGTGGTGGATGATGAACAAGTGGTGGTGATGGTGGTGGATGATGAACAAGTGTTAGTGGGTGTAGTGGATGATGAACAAGTAGAGGTGTTAGCGACGGTGGTGATTGATGAACAAGTGTTAGTGATGGTGGTGGATGATGAACAAGTGGCAGTGTTGAAACATAAAGAGACAGAAAATAAGAGACAGGACAAAGACACAACATTCTGTCTCTCAGTCTCGGAACAATTACAAAAACAAATCCATGTTGATTAAAAAAAACAGGGAGGCAATGACGTTTATAACCCGTTACTGTCCAGATTATGGTCAATTTTTGTCTGTGGTAGAAGTAGTGCTGGTGGTGAGTGGACGTGGTAGTGGTGGTGATAGTGATGGTGGTAGTGGTGGTGGTGCTGGTGGTGTGATGGTGGACGTGGTAGTGGTGTGGTGATAGTGATGGTGGTTGGTGGTGTGGTGGTGGTGGTGGTGGTGGTGCTGGTGGAGATAGTGGACGTGGTGAGTGGTGGTGATAGTGGTGGTTGGTGGTGGTGGTGGTGGTGGTGGTGGTGGTGGTGGTGGTGGTGGTGATGGTGGTGGTGGTGTTGGTGGTGGTAGTGGTAGTAGTAGTAGTAGTGAGTAGTGGTGAGTGGTGATAGAGGAGTGGGTAGTGAGTGGTGGTGGTGGTGATAGTGGAAGTGGTAGTAGTGGGTGTAGTGGGTGATGGTGGAGTGGTGGTGAGTGGTGGTAGTGGTGATGGTGGTGATGGTGGTGGTGGTGGTGGTGGTGGTAGTAGTAATGGTGGTGGTGATGGTGGTGATAGTATGGTGGAGGTGGTGGTAGTGGTAGTAGTGGTGGTAGTGGTGATAGTGGCGATACTGTAAACAAAAACTCACCCTTAAGCCACGGTCACAATATTATTTACACGAACTGGAATTAACAGCGCTACACAACACCAGGGTTACATAACAGTGTCAACCAGTCAGGGCCGGATTCAGGAGTGGGCAAAGTGGGCAGCTGCCCAGGGGCCTCCACATATTACAATATTTTATTTATTTGTTTATTCATTTGGATCATTTTATTTTTCATTCTTTAAAATTCATGTTTATCTATCACTTGTGTGTGTGTGTGTGTGTGTGTGTGTGTGTGTTGGGAATTTGTACACTACCAATAAATATACAGTTAATTAAAATTTCTCAATGCTCAATTTCCTCAATATAACTGCATATGGCTAAAATTCTCAAAGAAGTGTTCAAATTTCAAAAATTTTCCGTGGGTCTTACAGCGCCCCGGAACTCCCAGATGTTTGGCTCCTTCACTCGCCACCCCACCCTCTTGTGTAGTTATAATGAGGGGGCCTCCACAAAGAGGCTGCCCATGGGCCTCCCACGAGTCCTAAATTCGGCACTGCAACCAGTCGGTTTTACGGTAGATGGGAAGTGAAATAGAAGTGGATAAATAGAGAAATGAAAGAGAGAGGTAAAGAATGGACAGGGAGAAGTTAATAAAGACAGATAAGGGTTTAGGAAGAGTTTTCTGGTCACCTCATGTTTCCAGGAGTAATGGTGAAGTATTAGAAAACGAGATGTAACACACACAGCACGTCTCTCTCTCTCTCTCTCACTCTCACATCTCTCTCCCCATCCAACTTTATACACTACATCTATCAATCAATCTATCCTTAATTATCCAGTGTTTCTTTCTCTCTCACCCTCCATCTCCTCTCTCTCGCGCACTGGACACTGACAACATTGCAGGTGACTCACAGTAGCGTCCAGCCCTACCTCAACGACCAACAGGGTGACCTGGCAGGCTCAGTCCAGCTCCTGTCACCAAACTGTCAACAACAACAACAACAACAACAACAACAACTCGTGCGTGTGTCTGTGGCATATGAGAGGTGATTACGACAGACAGGTGATTAGACAGTCTGTGATAATGGTTAACGGTTCATAATTGTTTAATTTCTGACTCTGTCTCGTGATCCACCTGTTTAATCCCTGTCTCTGTCTCGTGATCCACCTGTCTAATTCATGTCTCTGCCTCATGACCCACCTGTATAATCCCTGTCTCTGCCTCATGATCCACCTGTCTAATCCGTCTCTGCCTCATGATCCACCTGTCTAATCCCTATCTCTCTCATGACCCACCTGTCTAATCCCCGTCTCTGTCTCGCAGGGGGGACGACCGCTACTGGGAGAGGACCAGACTTCGTGGGACAGATCGCCAACGTGACCGTGACAGCAGGACGTGACGCTGTTCTTACCTGTACTGTCGAGCGTCTCAGGGAGTACAAGGTGAGAGAGAGAGAGAGAGAGAGAGAGAAGAGAGAGAGAGAGAGAAGAGAGAAGTGACAGTGAGAGAGAGAGAGAGAGAGACAGTGAGAGAGAAAAAGAGTGAGACTGTAAGAGAGAAAGTCAAATATCCATTCACAGGTGAGTTAATTGGGGGTTAGGGGAGCGAACCAATGACCTATAGGACGGGAGGCGAGTGTTGTATCCACTTGACCACAAAATCACTTTTAGTATTTAGATAAACAATCTTTTAATTATTATCCAACTCCTATCATCCCTCGGTCATTGTCGGGGGGGGGGGCGAGGGTATTATCATCACCCACGTTGTTATTGTTGGATGTTATTTGTTGTTGGATTGGATTTCCGGATCGTAACTTGAGTCTGGTGGCCCCGCTGAACACGATATTGTATTGATACAGGTTCTACCCTCAGGCACAGGATGTACCCCTCTATTGATTGTGGTGGGGAGGGTGTATAAGTCAAAGGTTACGGTGATTTATACTGTACATGGTTCACCTCAATATTTTTTGTACATTTTTGTGTTATTGTTCACACAGACCATAACTTGACCCCACTGTTGTTATTGTTCACAGGAATCATACCTAACCTGACTTAACCTAATTTAACCTAACCTAACCAAACACGACTTAACCTAATCTAACCTATCTTGACCTGACCTAACCTAATCTAACCTAGCACCTTGCGACCTGATCTAGCAAGCCACCCTACCTAACCTGACCTTACCCGACCTAGCAACATGATCTAACCTAACCTAACCTAACACTACCAGTGATGATTCTTCAATTGGGTCAAACGTTTATCTAAGGTCGTGGCCTTGTTGGTCTGGATGTCAATTATCGCGTCTGTGTGTCGCGTCTGATGACTTACTATGAATATCTCAGTGATGGTGGTGGGGAGTGGTGGTGGGGTGGAGGGTGGTGGTGGTGTGGTGGTGGTGGAGGAGGAGTAGTGGTGGTGGGGAGTAGTGGTGGTGGTGGAGGTGGTAGTGGTGGTGAAGGGTAGTGGTGGTGGTGGAGGTAGTGGTGGTGGGAGTAGTGGTGGGGTGGAGGGTGGTGGTGGTGGTGGAGGTGAGTGGTGGTGGGGAGTAGTGGTGGTGGGAGTAGTGGTGGTGGTGGAGGGTAGTGGTGGTGAAGGGTGAGTGGGGTGAGGTGGAGGTAGTGGTGGTGAAGGGTAGTGGTGGTGGTGGAGGTGAGTGGTGGTGAGAGGGTAGTGGTGGTGGTGGAGGTAGTAGTGGTGGAGGGTGAGTGGTGGTGGTGGAGGGGTGAGTGGTGGTGAAGGGTAGTGGTGGTGGTGAAGGGTAGTGTGGTGGAGGGGTGAGTGGTGGTGGTGGAGGTAGTGGTGAGGTGGTGGAGGGTGGTGGTGGTGGTGGAGGGTAGTGGTGGTGGTGGGGAGTGAGTGGTGAGGTGGAGGGTAATGGGTGTGGTGGTGGAGGGTGGTGGTGGGTGGTGGTGGAGGGTAGTGGTGGTGGTGGGGAGTAGTGGTGGTGGTGGAGGTAGTGGTGGTGAGGGTAGTGGTGGTGGTGAAGGAGTAGTGGTGGTGAAGGGTGGTGGTGGTGGTGGAGGTAGTAGTGGTGGAGGTAGTGGTGGTGGTGGGAGTAGTGGTGGTGGTGGAGGTGAGTGGTGGTGAAGGGTAGTGGTGAGTGGTGGAGGGTAGTGGTGGTGGTGGAGGTGGGTGGTGGTGGTGGTGGAGGTAGTGGTGGTGGTGGGAGTAGTGGTGGGTGGTGGGAGGTAGTGGTGGTGAGAAGGGTAGTGGTGGTGGTGGAGGTAGTGGTGGTGGTGGAGGGTGGTGGTGGTGGAGGTAGTGGTGGTGAGGTGGTGGTGGAGGTAGTGGTGGTGGTGGGGAGGTAGTGGTGGTGGTGGAGGGTGAGTGGTGGTGAAGGGTAGTGGTGGTGGTGGTGGAGGTGAGTGGTGGTGAAGGGTGGTGGTGGTGGTGGAGGTAGTAGTAGTGGTGGAGGTAGTGGTGGTGGTGGAGGGTGAGTGGTGGTGGGGGAGTGGTGGTGGTGGAGGGTAGTGGTGGTGGTGGAGGGTAGTGGTGGTGGTGAGAGGGTAGTAGTGGTGGAGGGTAGTGGTGGTGGTGGAGGTAGTGGTGGTGAAGGGTGAGTGAGTGAGGTGGTGGAGGTAGTAGTGGTGGTGGAGGGTGGTAGTGGTGGTGGAGATTAGTGGTGGTGAAGGGTAGTGGTGGTGGTGGAGGGTAGTGGTGGTGGAGGGTAGTGGTGGTGGTAGTGAGGGTGAGTGGTGGTGGAGGGTAGTGGTGGCGGTGGAGGGTAGTGGTGGTGATGGTGGAGGTGAGAGTAGTGGTGGAGGTAGTAGTGGTGGTGGTGGAGGTAGTGGTGGTGGTGGTGGAGGTAGTAGTGGTGTGGAGGTAGTAGTGGTGGTGGTGAGAGGAGTAGTGGTGGTGGTGGTGGAGGGTAGTGGTGGTGGTGGAGGGTAGTAGTGGTGGTGGGAGGTAGTGGTGGTGGAGGTGGTGGGTGGTGGTGAAGGGTAGTGGTGGTGGAGGGTGGTACTTTGGTGGTGGAGGGTAGTGGTGGGGTGGTGGATGGTGGTAGTGAGCAATACATAGCTGA